GGTTTGTGTGGGGAGAAGAGTGCAACAATGAATGAATGGAATTCCAAAATCTCTGTAGATGTTCATTGAAATGAAAAATAAACTAAATTAAAAATAAAAAAACAAGATGAAAAAACAAACAAACAAAAAACCCAGTACTTATTTTGGCAGGAGAATTTTTAATACATAATATGAAAATGAAAAAGTATCATAACCATTTATAAAAAGTTAAAATGGACCACAGATGTAATAAAGGAATAGAAACGTTAAAAAAAAAGAAATGAACTGCATAAATAATGACATACTAGGTGTTGGAGAAATTAGCTGGATGAGATGAAGTGGGATGGGTAAGATTGTGAAATGAGGCTGACAGAAAAATAATTGATACCTTTGAATTGTGATGGTGCTGGAGAAGAGTATTGAACAGATCATGGACTGCCAAGAGGACAAATAGGCCTGTCTCAGAAAGGGTAAAACCAAATTTCTCCTTTGAGGCTAGGATTTTGAAGCTCTGTCTCATATACTTTGAGCATGTGGCCAGGAGGGACCGGTCCTTGGAGGAAGACAACATGCTTGGGAAAGGTGGGGGGAGAGTGCAGGAGAGAAAGACCCCTCATGAGGTTGATTGACACAGTAACAAGGGTAACGGGAGTAGATGAGTTGGAGTCAGTGAGACTGGCTCAGGACAGGGCAAGCTTCAGAGCTATTATACAGGGTCTCTATGAGTCATGGGTGGCTCGATGGCATTTAACAACACTACCAGGCCTTGGAGAGGGTCATCATGCTAGGAAAAGTAGAGGGGTCAGTAAAAAAGAGTAAGACTCTATAAGACACATTGACAGAGTGATTACCACAGTGGGCTTGAGCCTGGCAGAGATGGTGAAGACTGTGTAACGATAGGGCAAGGTTCATAGTGTTGCTATGAGTCATGGTTGACTTAATGGCACCTAACAAAAAAAAATCTTGTTTTCTATCTAATTATCCTGCCATCAAGTGTGCCAAAGAGTCCTGGTGGTTCCACAGTTAAGTATTTGACTACTAACCCAAAGGTTAGCAGTTCGAAGCCATTATTAGTGGCTCTGTGAGTAAAAAACCTGGTAATCTTCTATAAAGATTACAGTCTAGGAAACCCACTGGGCAGCTCTGCTTTGGGGTCACTCTGGATTAAAATGATGCAACAGCACACAACAACTAGTTGTCAAAACCTACTGTCCAAATCTCCTTAGTTTACTTTTTCCAGAGACTACATCTCCTGTCCTTTATTGTGATAACATAAGGAATTGAGATGGTATCTAACATTCAGAATTTCAATGTTGTGTTTAGTTTATCCTTCTTCCCTTCTGAAGGCAATAGATTCCACAAGTTCCTGAGTTTTTAGGAGATTCTGTAGTATAACTGGTTTGGTTCATGTCTTTGTCCATGCTGTTTTTGTTGCTGGTATTGTTAGGTGCCACTGAATTGGTTGCAACTCAGAGTAAGGCTGTGACTAACAGAGCTGAACCTTTCCCTATCCTGCACCATCCTCACAATACTAGACATGTTTGTGTTGCAGACTGAGGGTAAAGTATTTTTATAATTATTATTAATGAGACAGACAGCCAGGAATGAGATAGAGCAGAGAACATAAAACAGGGGGCCAGCAGTTCTGACTGAAGACCCCCATTCCAGCTTCCCTGTAGCTTTATTGAAAATTATCAGGAAGTAATTCACAAGGAGAATTCAATGCAAATGAAGTCAAGCTCTTTCTATTGAAACCTTTCTGCTTGACTCAGGAGGGAGGGGTTAGCAAATGCAAGAATCTGGTAAACCCTTAAGGATTGCCTTGGTGCCTCAGGGTGAACTCTAGCTTGTACCTCACCTCCCCCACATCCTTATGTAGCATTCAGTTTATTACAAGTATTTAGTATTGGCTTCTCATATGTTTGAGCCCATTTTTACAGTCACAGTGTCAACTCATCTTGTTGAAGATCTTGTCTCTCCTTGACCCTCCACCTTTCCCAGCTTGTTGTCTTTTTCCAAAGACTAGCCCCTCCTGACAATTTACCCAGAGTGTATGAAATGAAATTTCATGATCCTCTCCTCTGAGGAGCACCTGCTTGTACTTCTAAGATAGACTAGTTTGGGTTTTTGGCAGATAGTCAGTATTGTTTTCCAACACCACAATTCACAGGTATAGATTCTTCTTTGATCCTCCTTTTTCATTACCCGACTTTCTGATGCATAGGAAAGAATTGAAATGACCATGACTTGGACCAGGTATGCCTTTGTTTTTAAATGGACATCCTTGCTCTTCAGCACATTGGAGAGGTTCCTGATAATTTATTTTCCCAGTGCAACACATCTTCTGATTTCTTAGGATTCTATTTTCTCAGATCTTGGTAATTTACATTGTTGTTATTAGACGCTGTCGAGTACGGCACATAGCAACCCTATGAACAGCCAACCTGAACCCTGCTCTATCTTGTGCCATCTTCCCCATGTATGAAACACTCAAGCCCATTGCTGAAGTTACTGTGTTAATCCATCTCATTGAGGGTTGTCTTCTCCTTCAGTGACCCCTATATTCCCAAGCATGATGTTCCTCTCCAAAGAATTGCCTTACCTAGCTAGAAGTACTTTGGGCATGTAGCTAGGAGGGACCAATTCTTGGAGAAGGACATAATGTGTGGAAGGGTGGAGGGACAGTGCAGTAAAGGAAGACCCTGGATAAGATGAATTGATACAAAGACTGGGGCAATGGGGGTTCATGTGTTGGAATTAGTGAGACTGGCTCAGGACAGGGCTTCAGGGCTGTACACAGGGTTGCAGGCAACATGACAGCACACAACAACAACAGCAACAACAAGCTACTTGTCCAAAGTATGAAAGATGAACCTTCATCATCTTTGCCTACAAGGAGCACTCTGGCTGCACCCTCTCCAAGACATAACTGTTTGTTCTTTTTCCAATCTACGGGATAGTCAGTACTCTTCTCAACAGCACAACCCAAAGGCAGTTCTTCAGTCATCCTTATTCATTGGCCAGCTCTCTAATGTATAGCAGGTGATTGAGAAGAGTAGCTATTTCTCTTTATAAATTTATTTTTCAACTTGACATTATAGTGCATTTTCTTATTTTTAAGTTTTCAAAGTATCCAACCATACTATAGCAAATTATTATTTCCTTTTTCTTCCTAATTTTTGTGTTTCTTTTCTCTTCCTCTTCTCTAGTTGCATTGTCTCATACCTCCAGTACAGTGTGAAATAGTCATGGTGAGGTGAGTATCTTGTCTTTTTCCTATCTTTCCTTCAAAACCCTCTAGTGTTTTTCCAGTATTACACTGGTTTCTGTTTGATGGCATGTATAAAAAAATGAATGTTGATTTCCCCCAAATACCTTTTAGCCAAATTTATGGGTTTTTAAAATTTATACTAATGAGTGAAATTTTGTCTGTTGTTCTCTTTTTGGTGCTGTACTATTAGGTATTGGGATCAATGCCAGGTTGGCTTTGCAAAAAGTAATATGAAAGCATGGTTTCTCCTTTATGTTTTTGAACAATTTAGTAGCATTGGAACTGTTAGATGAGTAACTTAAAAAGTTACAGTGCCCAGGGCTTGGTCCGAGTGGCCCTTCATTCTCCCTCAAATTAAATCAGTCTGAGGGTGCCCTTCTAAGCATATTTGTCGTGAGCTCTTTAGACTGTAGTCTCAGAAGGCACAGAGGTAATGTTGAATGAAAAAATGTAAAATTTTCTTTCTAGAAGCTTTAGGGAGCCGGAAAAGGAGGAGAAGGAAAAGGAAGAGGAGGAGGAGGAAGTTAATTGTGTTGTTTGGACAAGAATTTAGTTCAACAAACTATGTTTCTCTTTAGCCCACCACAAGACAGGCAGGCCTGATAAAACGGGACAAAGGAAAAGGAATTTCTATTACTCCTTTCTCCACAGCCCTCAAACTTGGTCCCACAATTCTGTGATTTCCCCAGTGGCCCTGGTGGAAGCTTCTTCAGAGAAAACATGTGAGGCTAGCTCCGCATCTCTGAAGCACATTCTGGGGTTCCCTCTTGATATCAAATAGATAAATACTGTTGAGTTAGGGATTTCCTGATTTCTATTCTCAGATGAAGGTGGTGGTGTTGGATTTACCATTCCAGCATGATTTGACTAATTCAAGACTCAATGGCTTTTCCTAGATTATCTCTATCTAAGGAAGGCTTGTGGAAGCTCTGGTGGCCTTGTGGTGAGGACTTACACTGCCAACCCAAAGGCAGGCTGCTCAAGTCCCCTGATTGCCCTGAGGGCGAAAGATAAGCAATCTCTCCTTCTAGGCAGTACACAGTCTGTGAAAACCCACTGGAGGTCAGCTGTGAGTTGGTTTTGACTCAATGGCAATGACTTTTTTTTTTTTAATTGAAGGAAGGCTTGAGGGGGAGCCTTGGTAGC